TCACATTTTTGGAGTCATTCCCAATCCTTCATTCTTCCTCACTCCCTATGTCACATCTTGGCACTCTCTTACTGTTCATCATGCTGTTTCTCAATCTCAGCATTACATGCTCCACCTGTGTTCCTTTGCACAGGCTGCCTGGAGTGCATGGGATGTACTCACTTCCTTTTGCCTCTTAGAATCCTTAGCTTCTCTTAACACTCAAGTGCTAGCTCTTATGGTAGGCCTTTCTGGATATCCCTGGTTGTTAGTGCTGTCTCCATTTTCAAATTATCTTGTACTTATTAACAAAAATAAATGACATATCCAGGAGAATGTAAGTTCATTAGGGACAAGAGCTTTTTAAAAATTTTTAATTTTTGTCTATGTGTCTCTAGTACCCTTACAATACTAAATGCTTAATAAATTTTTGTGGAATTGATTTCATTTTCAATTGATGTTGAGAAGATACCATCTATACAGAATCTGTCTTTGACTTGGGATGTGTGGGATGTTCTCCATGACAGTCAAATATTTTTGACGAATATATACCCTGGTCTTGTGACTTACTTGATGTTCATAATCAGAACAAAGTTATCTCTGTTGTTATGCCTTTCATTATTTTATGAAATTGATATGCATAGGAGATACCTTGTTGGAGAAGAGCTTTTAAGGGTTTTGCTCTGCCGAGTCAAATGTTTTTAAAATTGACCAGCATGCACAGTGGGAATCGTGTGGTTTCTGTATCTCAGTTGTATGTAATGCCAAATTTGGTTAGCTGTGGAATATCCCATACAGAAGCTTACCTGGCTTTTAAAACCCTCGTAACTGGCCTTTTCCTACCTTTTCAGTCTTCTTATACCTTACTCTCCCCTTCACATACCCTGAATTCCTCTGACATTAGCAACCTTGCTGTTCCTCACACAAAATACTCCATCTCCCAACTCCAAGCATTTTTACTGGTTGTCCCCCATGCCTAAAGCAAAATCATTTCTTTGTCCTAGTTTCCCTGGCTTCCTTCAAATCTCAGCTAAAGTCTCAACTTCTGTAAGAAGCCTTTCTCAGTCTTCCTCAATTTTACTGCCTTCCCTCTGAGACCATCCCCATTTTTTTCTGTATATATCTTGTTTGTACATAGTTTGCATATTGTTTCCCTCATTAGATGGTGAGCTCCTTGACTGGGGACAGTGTTTCTGCTTTTTCTCTCTGTTGAGAGAACTTAACTATCCCTTTCAGCTTCATTGCTTAGCACAGCGCCTGGAACATGGTAGGCTTAGCAAATGCTAGTTGACTGTTCCCTTCTAATCTCATCAAGAATGTCCTCAATGAATGCTTAGTCCCATGAAAATTTTGAATATATGGGAAAGTAGGCAAAGGGATGATATATTTAGTCACCTTTTTTCTATTTAGTCACCTTTTTCTACTAATAAGGTCTGGGTTTTTTCCCCCTTCACGACTCTGGTATTCTCTCTTCTTTCATATTCCTCAAGGTCCTTCAGATGCTCCCATTTGTGGGATAACATTGGGCCAATAAGTCTGTTTCTAATCATGTTGCTTCTATCAAGCCCCGATTTGCAAAGCCACTTAATAGTATCACTCACTCAAGGGTTTGGCCTAACTATTCACAAAGGAAAAACCAATCAGATGAAGACTGCCTTTTGTTCAAACTGGGTTACGAAAGTAAGCCATAGTGCTCATCCACAGTATGAATATTTTGGATGGACATGGCAAATAGATAAAATGAAACCAGAATTGAACAGGATGATGACAGATAGGCTAGACTGCTTCAGGAAGATTTCACAATTATTTTAATGATTCCAAGTTTCTCTCTAAAAAAAGGTATTAACATCACTATTCTTCCAGTTATGACATACATGGAAATGTATAATCTTCAAAGGATTTGGTACTCACCCCAAGGGCAATGGAGTGGTATATGGTGGGCATGCGCAGACTACAACACTCTCAAATGAATTAGATAGAAGTGGAGTCAAGGATATCGACAGAAAAATAAGGCAGGCTATTTGCATGTCCAGAGTCATAGGCAATTTATAGATAGCTCACATTTCCTACTGGTATCCATACAATGTCAGGTAAATTGTCTCCAGCAAATTGGGTGGATCCACTGTGGCAAATTTATGGGAAGATATAGATGATGGGATTTTGTAACTTGCAGCATTGGGATGAGTTACCCACTTCAGTTAGATCAGAGATCCACTGGCAAGGGCTTTGTTACTTCTAGATTGTATACAGTATCTTATGCACAGGTAGGTATTTAAAGGATACACTGAATAAAAAGAAGTTGTAGTAAAAAAAAAAATACTCTCCATATCCCAATGTAAAAGTGTTCATTGTATTCATTAGCATTTATCTGTAAAGTCCTTGGCTGAGACTCAGCTTCAATCTCATCTCATTTACCCAATAGCTCAGAGAGGCAGCCCCAGAGCTGACCTTCCAGTGAGGAGGCTTTTAAAATAGGCTGTTAAATGGTTTTCTTGCCAACCGTAAACAGCTCTGTGTGAAAACTCAGCTCTCTTACACAATTTGACACATGGGTCCTGGTGATTCTACAGCTTACGCTGGGAAGAGGACAGGGATTTTCCTTTGCCTCTTGAAGTTCACAATATTGGCAGGAGGGTGGAAAGAGGAGATGGGGAGATGAGGGAAGAGGCAAAAGATACATTAGTAAACAGGGTTTAAACAAAATGAAAATGAATATTAGCAAGGAAGAAATGTGAATTCTGCAGCTCCACTAAATTCTTTGCAGGCAAACCAGTGACTGGGTGCCTGTAACTTGTAGAGGAGGGAAATTAAAAACAAAACCAAGACATTTAAAAAAAAAATTCTAACTGGCAAAACAATCTCTGGATATTGTAAAGGGAATACTGAAAGGCAGTTGATATTGCAGAAACAATAGATGGGCAATTGGGGAAAAAATTAGGCCAAAAATATAGTGGGTCCTCAAAATAACCCAAAGGAGACTGTGTAGGAATCTAAGGGCTCCATTTAATCCCTGGCTTAACTAACACAACTAAAAAGCCACTTTAAATATATCTTCTGTAAATACCAGGTCTTTTTGTTCTTGATGAACCCTTCCAGCCCTCAGAATTAGTGAAGGGCCTTTGAAGATTTTCTTTCTTCAGGTCTAGTGATAGATTAAGCAGAACTACATCTCTGGGAAATGAGGAAATTCACAGGAGCTGCTCTAAGCATTTCAAAAACTGCATTTGATCCTCCCTAGGAAAAAAAATTTTCAACTTGCTAGGATATTCTCTCCTACTGTCTGCTCCTCTCACCTCACCTGGAAGATCTCAAAGAATATTTTAAAGCTAGGCATAATAATAATCAAAGTGCAGCATGATCAAGAGGAAAACAGCAGGCATGGAATATGGGTTCACCAACTCCGTCATCTTCCTCAATAGAATAATCACTTCCCATTTTCAAAAAAGGCAATTGATCTCAATCTGCTTATAAAAGCAAACATCTGAAAACACTGACATCTACTAGATCTGGTCCTTAATGTTTTGGACACAAATTATTTGATATTTAGATTATCCAGGTCCAAGGTTTCTCTTTCTTGTTATCCACTTTTGTGACAAATATCAGGTAAGATGTTTGAAATGACCACAGGTCATCTGAGGAATGTTTGTATTGTCTTCCTGCTTTCTATCACCATTCTTAGATTCCCTAATGTGGAAGATGATGCCTTGGGATTGTGTGACCAGGTAATATCTCAAATGAGAGCTAGTTTTCAGTGCCTCTTAAATTTTCCTAAAAAGATGAGTGACAAACTGGTCCAAATCAGTTTGTTATCTTTTCTCCTAAAACACTCACCTCTTCCTAACATTCCTCCTATTTAGGGCACCACAATCCTTCCAGTCACCCAGGTTACTCTGCGTCCTCAGGTCACTTTCACTCTTTGCTCACAACTAATGGGTTGTGCCAAGTTTTGTCAAATACACCTATAAAGCTCATGCCCATGTCCTCATTTCTCTATTCTTGCAACCATCACCCTTGTTCAAGTCTTCATCACTTCTTACCTGGACTGTTCCAATAGCCTTAAATTGGCCTGCCAGCCTTCATTTTTAGCCTCCTACAATCTATCCTCCAAAGCTTGTTAAACTGACAATACTATAAGTTTGTCTATGTTGCTTCCCTGACCTAGAAACTCTAGTGGCTTTCTACTGAATCTAGACTACAAATTCCTTTGATATTTAAGCCCATCAGTTGGCTTCAGCTTACCTTTCCCAGACTTATCATAGCTCTTCTCTCCCTCACATACTCTGGCCAAACTGCCGATCTCAGGATACAACTGTCTCTTGCTATACCTTTGCACAAAGTGCCCCCTTGCCTAGAATGTCTCCACATCTGTACATCACACAAGTCTTAGTGTATATGTTGGAAGCTCTCTTCCAGTGCCACTTCCTACAGGAAGTCTATCTGACCTTGTTGTTGCTGATATTCCCTGTTACTTTGTATGTTCTTTGCAAAGATTATTTTCCCCCTTAGAAGAATAAATACTCTGAATGCAGGAGCTGCTTTTTCTTTGAAGACAAATTCCCCCAGATTCTCACTAGGCAACAAGAGATTTCTCCATGGTGCCTTCAACAGGAACTCCAGAACGTGGCTTCCCATAATTTCCAATTTGTACCTTTTCCCTAAAGTTCCATTCTAGTGAGAAAATGGTATAAACAGGCTAACAGATCCTAGACCCCCTTTCTCCTTGCTGTTGTTCAGTCATGTTCTGACAATTTGTGATCCCATTTGGGGTTTTCTTGGCAAAGACACTGGAGTGGTTTGCCATTTCCTTCTCCAGTAGATCCATTTTGTCAGGCAATCAGAGGTTATGTGACTTGCCTAGGGACACATAGTTAGGCTAGCCTGATGTTGGATTTGAACTCGGGTCTTCCTGACTCCAGACCCAGTGCTCTATCCAGAGCCACTGGCTGCCTCCCCCTTTTTCCTTGCCCCCTATCCAAATAGTAAACCTCAAATCCAAATGTAAGAAAACAACTTAGATCAACTTGATTGAAAGGTACTTTATTTCAATGCAAGCACACAAATAAAAATTAAGGTTCATGGTCTGAGTTCAAATAAGTGTTTTTCATGCAAGAATGGGCTTTAGTTCTTCCATGTAAAATGTGGGAACTCAACAACTGAAATCTTTTCTTTCTAGTCTCCCCCAAACCCTTCACATTGTTTTAGTTTCATATAAAGCAGTCCTCCAACAAGGTAAACACAAATGCAGATCTGCTGACCATATGGCTGTTCTCCTGGGTTACAGTCTGGCCTAAGGTGCTTCTTCTTAGATGCAAACAAGTCTCAGATTTCACAGCTGAGTCACACCGGATATGAAGTTGTAAGAGTCAGTAGACTGGACCTGGCTACAGGCTTGGACTGAGGTCTTCATTCACCTAGTCTAGAAGGACAAGCCAGCCCATGTCTGTTTGTTAGGATGAAGCTGATGATTAAAGTCCCTTGAACTATCAGATTGCTTCTGAAGAGGTTTAAGATTGACATAGACTATGGATGTGCTCTGAAACACCAAAGCACCATGAATACAGGGCTCAAAGGATAAAACAATAGTATCTTTCTCATAGTGTTTAAAGCCTGTTTTTATCTTTTTCTATTATCTGAACAATACAAGCACACAATAAATTTCCTTCCCCCAAATTTGCCAACATATTGAAGACATTTTAAAATGTCATACAAAATGCCTTGAATTTTGCAAGTGCCCCTTTATAGGTAGCCATCATAAGCACAATTTTATCTAATTGTTTTTAGATCAACTTGGAACCTAAATTGAATTCTGAAAAGTGCAACTCAAGTGTTTCAATAATGCCAACAAACACATATATACACATACACATATATGCTTTTTTTTTTAAACATTGAGACTAATTAACACAAGCAGCTACTGTACTCCTGCATCACTGAAATGGTGCTGCAGTACATTATTTTAAATTAAATCCAAACAAATGCTCTCCTTGTTTTGCTCAGGCAGAGCTACCAAGAGAACTAAGCAGCACTTATCACCTACATTTGTTTATTCCTAGTGAGAACATTTACAAATCACCATGGTACTTCCAGCATCCCTGCAGGGAGAGGCAATCTCACCAAAAAGCAAATCCTCCTTAGAGCCTAAGCCCAAAATAAAGTCAAAATACAGGACTCAGTCTTCTCTGGGCCATGAACATTTGAACCATATTTATAGCTCAAACTTAAATGGAGCCCTTAACTAGTAGCATGAACTAAAATAGGAAACAAGTATTTATCTGTCATTCATATCAAAAGAAAATGCTCTCAATAAAGGAACTCCAAAAGCTGGGTTCACAGTGGCTTTTCCTTCAAATTCCCGACTGATGAAGTCTAGTTAGTCAAGTAAAGCAACTTTTTTTTTTTAATCCTTTCTCGGGAATCTCCTATTGGTCACTAAATTTCTGAAACACCTACAATCTTAGGTAAGCTCCTGAACCAGCCAAACAGGCTATTTTAATCATTAGTTTATTGAAGAAACCAGACTTTAGACAGCTCACTCCTGAGTGCCAACAATTAACACTGGCAGGTAATCTGTAGCGAGAGCTATTCACACTCCTAAGGGTCAGGCTACTGGTAATTAGTCTCAAGAGGGGAAGTGAGAAACAAAAGGTATTCTGGGAATGGGGTGGGCAGACATCCTCTCAAAAACAGAAAGGGTTTTCATTTGTCCTTTTTGAATAATAGATACTAGAGTGACTTGCCCTGGGGATGCCTGAAAATCCAAAGTAGTTTTCCACCCAATCATATGTCATATGAACTATGAAAAGGAACAGGAGTTGCCGGCAGCAAAACTTTACCACCTGCTTTCCCCAACTTTGGCAGCAGTTATGGGTCTAACAGTATGTTGTCAACACCAACGAAAGTCAAAACGTTTCTCCCTTCCCCCCCAACTGTATAGCAATAAAGTTCCAATTCAGCCCCTCTCTCACTCCCACCCCACCAGGACCAAGTTAAGCTGTTATGTAGTGCTGATTGACCCTTAAATACGAGAAGGCAGGAAAAAGGGGGAGAAAGAGGAATAATGGGAGTGTGATTTCCTTCCCAATTAAATGTTGTCCACCCCAGAAATACCTATTTCCCCACTCAACCAACAGAGCTGAAAACAGAAATGCTCTATCTTCAAGCCTGATTCCAGAGTTTGTTCCCAGACCAATAGCCCAGGCCTCATTGTTGTAGCTGGGTTCTACAATACCTGCCCTCCCACTAGCCCAACTTCTTCCTTATCTGTTATTGGCAAAGATGGTTAGAGCAGATAATTTTCAGACTCATTTGTTATAGAGTGCTCAGGGCTCCTATCGATGCCAGATCCCCAAAGTCTCTATGGGTTTGTTCCCTTAGTGTTGTGATACTCACACCCTAGGGAAAGTCAGCAAGGTCTTCATACAGTTAAGCTTTGGAGGTTTTTGAAATTAAGTAAATTTCACATAGAGGTGGTAAACCTATCACCCCCTTACATACAGAATGGATACCTCCCTCTATCCTACATCAATATTCACTTCCTAATACGTACCTTGTCTGACAGCTAGTACAATTTCCTTTAGCAACCGGGGAGAAGTAGAAGCAGAAAAATCCATGTGCTTTGGAACAGTAAGATACCCTAAAGGAAAGCTACCAAAAGAAAGCTACTCAAAGTAAAAGTTTTTCTACATGAGCCCTATCCATATTTCAAGGATCTTATGGACCGGAAGACTATAACTGGTCAATTACATAAATGCTGAAACACACCAGGCCTCTTGGTACTATACAGAGATGCACCTGGATTAAGCTTTAAGTGGCACTACTGTTTCTAGCCCAAGTTTTCTGCCTACTGGGACTAGTTTAGGTAAACAGCTTCAAATCACTGCGTGTCCTACACTGGGTAGAAAAGAGAGGTTTTGCTTTTAGGGTTGCTGACAATGTTTTCAGTGCAGCTACTGGGCTAGCCTTAGTACATCTGTGGTTTATTTGGAAAAGCTTTCTGAGGAGGCATTGAAGAAAGGGTTCAAGTGGGGGAAGGGGAGGGGGGGAGGAAAAAAAGGGGACTGGTCAATCAGAGCCACAGACAGTTTATCCTTCCAAAATAAGATTAGGAAGAAAAATGAAGAACCCATGGGTAGTAAGTAGCAGGAGGCAAAAGTGTCTTCTTGGGACTGTCATCTGCAATTAAAAAGAAAAAGAAGAGTTCTTAGTACTTATCAATAATATTATTACCAGTATTAACTGACAAAGGGCCATGAAGCCACAGTGAAATTGAGACCTTGTCTTGTCAGCCTGCTAAGGTGACTCAGGGGCACCCTTCAGCACAGTGCTAAGCACACAAGAGCCCAAGAACACCCTCTGAACACATCAGCATTCACTTTGCTTCATCTCCCAAATGTGCTGGGAGAAAGGAAACTACTCTGAAATTCTCTGAGGCAAATTGGTTTTGTTTTTTTTTTCCTGATTAACTGCAACCCACACTTTACTGATTGTTAGGACCTTTCATCATCCTGTTAGATGAAGAGGATTTGTGGCTGCTTCTGATAAGGACTCTTTCCCTAGACAAATACTTCTTTCCTTTTTCTACCTTAAGTGTAATACAGAACAGTGACTTTTCCAGTTGGAGATAAATGGGGAAGAATGAATTTCCAAAGGAGAGAAGCATCAGTCCCTAAGTATTGAGGGAGGCAGCTTTTCCTCATTTCTCTCCTTAGAAGAGCCACCTTGACCAGCAAGTTGCCATGTGCATGGCCACCACACATCCTGTGGAATACGTCAGAGTGTGGAGCTCAAGGTCGACAATTCATCCGGCCTCCTCAATTTGTGCTTTCCTGACACTCCCCAGGCTATTGTTCACCCTCTCCTTTTGGTGCCAAGAGCATTTCAATAACTCCATTTTCTCTGTTGTAGACATACTGGATAATGTGGCATCAGAATCCATCAAGAAATCAAACACAGGACAGCAACAAACTGAGAAGCATTAGTTCTCAAAGTTAAGGGGTTTTAGCTTTAAATATCTTATATATTTTCTGGAGCATTAAGAACAAAAAAACTAATGAGCTTCAGCACAAAATGATGATTATCCCCTGGATCCATCATTATCCAGAGAGAGATCAGGTTAGAAGTCTAGACTTAGGCCAAGCCTTCATTTCCCTGGAATAGCGTAGCTGGTGGTTTAAGTCTCAAGGTAAGGTCTGAAGCATTCAAATTGGTTCTGCTGTGGGGTGACCTTGAGAAAGGTCTTCATTTACGAAAAGGCCAAGATTTTGAATTCCTCCTGAGAGTTGTGAGGTCCTGCCATATCAAATGCTCAGATAACAGCAACAACATGAGGCCCCTGGAGACCAATAACATCTAAGTGTTTGTTGAAAAAAAAAAAAAAATATATATATATATATATATATATGATTTTATTTGGATGAGTGTTAAACTGTACTGCATGGGTAAAGAATTTTAGGGTCATGAAGCACAGCTGTCTGATTAATTTCAGTCCATTAGAGAGGCATGATATGTCTAAAATGCAACTCTGATAAAAATGAAAAAACAGGCAATGTGTACTGACGTTAAGCAAAACAACTTGGCATGCTAACAGAATTCAAATTTAACCAGCAAATGCCTATTCATTAGCGCGTAAAGCCATAACTGAGGCTATATACTTAGAAACACACACAAAGCTTTAATTTGGCACTATCATCTGAGAGAAAATTGGACCTAAATTGCTTTATGTCCAGTTAAATCCTGCTACCATCTGATGAGATAGTGAAATAAAACTGAAACACTTACTTGATGAGATAGATTTTCAGTTACTGTGCATTTTCATCTATGGAGTAGAAATATTTCAAAATAAATACATCAAGTCAATGGAAACATAACCTATCCCTTATCCCCAACTAAACATGAACCTCTACTATGATGTATGAATTCTAACTACATTAAAAGACTTTGAAAGTCAATGACAAAATGACCAAAAATAGATCCTCAATTCAAGTCTCTAGGCAATTAATTTGGTAATCTCACATTCAATGACTATAGGCCTTCCACCAAAAGAAAATTTAAGAGACAGCTAAATACTCTAAAATTAGTTCAGATACTAGCAAAGATAATTGATACCAAGGGCATTTGAATTTAGAAGTTATACTAGGTCCGAGTGTGGGCATTAAATTGGAAACCAGAGGTTTATGGTAATCCTGGGTATTTGATATATTAGCCATAGCTCTGGGATTAAGAAGTAAAACAGGGACAGAGATATTTTTTAACATGAACTGATAGGGCAAATTAGAGGGAAAAAAAGCCAATGGGTTTAAGAATTGAAGGATCTAGTTTTGTATTCTATTATTTACAATCTTTTTTTAAGGCTTTGACCAAATCATCCAATGTCTCTGCCTCTGTTTTTTATCTGTAAAATGTGAACACTGGACAGCTGGTCATGTTACTTCCCTGATTATCCTTCAGTGGTTCCCTATTTATGGCAAATTAAGTCTAAACTCCTTAGTTTGGAATTCAAGATCTTTTCATACACAATCTGATCCCAACCTATCTTTCTAGTCCTAGTCCTATTCTCCACTACACTACTTCTTTTCCACCTCAACATTCCTGACACTCTAGCCAAGGTGACTTCGAGACACCTCTGTTCTCTTAACAGGTGCCATCTTTTTTTTTTTTTTTTTTTTTTTAGCTTTTGCACAAACCATTCCCTATGCCTGGACCTTTCTCCTACATTTCACTTCTAATCTTAATCTGCTGAAATCCTACCTCTATCCTTCAAGACTTAGTTCTTCTATGAAACTTCTCATTTTCCCCAGCAAGAAATGATTTCTCCCTCTTCTGAACTCTTACACTATCACTTACTACACTCTATCTAGTATCAATTATTTCTGTGTGAAACCCTAATTTTCAAAACTGCCTCATTTGCCCACTTAAATATTAGGAACATTTTTATTACATCTGGCCTATATGCCTCATGATGCAGCTTAAGCCCATTTCCCTGTGTTATTCTCATTTGAGACACAGACTAGCTGGTCAGTGTTCTCCAAATGAAGAACTTTATTACATTAGCATTAGGCTGAATGATTCTAGTTAGTATAAATTTTAGCCATAGTTTTCCTCTAATCCTTTTGTCATCTCTGTCTCTACCGTGTTCTCCCTCTGGGAGGTCCTCCAGAGTGATCTGTAGTTGTAGATCCGAGAGCTGAGTTTTTTACTTCAAAATGTGTCTGGTTAGAAATTGGCATAATGCATGGGTCATCTAAGGGTTCCTCTAATGGCACAGAATTCACAGAAGAAAGGTTTGGGTAACAACCAGCAGAATCAATCCCTGAATAATCAAGGCTGATTCTACTCACATCATGGAGAGAGTGATTCAGCTCCATTCCACTTACTGCTTTTCCATGGTAGTACATATGGCAGAGACTTGGGAACCCGCATGCCTGAAGCCAGGTTATTCTTATGTTCCACAACCAAATTGTTTGCAGGGCTGCAAAAAGAAAGAGGACCTTGACTGTCTTGGTACACTGGGGTCACATGAGGACTAACTTTCAATTTCATAGACAAGAGAACATACAGGCCAATCAGGATGTGTTTCTATAACCTAAGGGAAAAACAACCCCCCACACAGATTTGAAATGTAAAAATATTTCCATCAAAACAGGCCTTCTTGCAATTAGAATTACTCCTTCTCTGAATGGTTCAGTGTTCTGTACCAACATTCAAGAAGGTATAGCCATTTTCACTGTCCAATATGTTAACTGAAATTGAGATAAACAGGGATGCCATCTACTGTTCAAATTCATGACAGGCCCATCAAATCACTTACTAACCATAAAAGACAAAGAAAAAGGCCAAGATGACTAAGTCCAAGGCAGTGAGCCTCATAAAACTAAAATAGGATAAAAGCTATCTTAATGGAATTTATTATTTAAGTCTATTTGATTTTTACCTCCATGAACTTACAAAACAGTATACATAAGACACAGTTATTATTGACTTTGGAGGCTAGGAATCACAAGTCCCAAAATAGTCCATTGGGAAAAATAGAAAAGAACAAACAGGAAATTTAGCATCCAGAGGACACTATCCATTCATTTTCCAACCCCAGATTCTCCCTTGGGTTTGCTACTTAAGATTCTGGCCGGGATATGTATTTCAAGAGTAGAGTTAAAATGCATCTTATTGCTTTTAAGTTAGAAATAAAACTAGTGAAGAGATGGATTTTCTTCTCTTCCCTTTAGGAATTTTAAAATCTCTCTACCTTGAAAGCCTACTACTTTTAAAAAGACTAATCTTTGCTTGTCACTAAAGGGGCAAACTATCAAATTGGAAAAGTAGCGATTTTTAAAACACCATTTACAGCATATCAAGAAAAACTAAGCAGTAGAACTATGTAGTATCCCAGTGTTACATAATAGCCCAGACACCAAGAACAACAGGTCAGGCTGCAGCTCAAAGTATGGAGCCACTGAGGCACATTCTAGGAACAGCCCAATACCGAAGAGGTGACTTTTAAACAACAGAATATTCAACATAAAGGAACAGCATCAAGAGACACCATTTTCATTACCTGTTATTGCCAGTGCAGTTAGCAGTGCCCCAGACAAAGGTGGTGCTGGACTGCTCCCACACATCTGCCAAAGGAAGCAAAACACAGCTTGTAACACTTATTTAGGAAGGCACCAGTGTGAGCCAGCATGCAGAAGCTGTGAAATGGGGAATCAAGCGCCTGAGTTTAAAGAAGGGAGTAAAAATTGATCAAGTGTCCTGACTAAGTGACAGTGTAGCAGGAATTTAATTGAAAGATATAAACGCACATGGCATAAATAATAATAAATGTGTCTATTAACAACCAAACACAGATGGCACAACACAATTTATGGAAAAAACAGATGTGAGGAAGTGTTTTTTCCATTCAGAGATGGGCTGCTCCACGTGTCTACCATGTAATACAACAGCACTCATTCTGGGGCCCAATAAAAATTATCAGGCGTCTTAAACAATACAGAATGTTCTTAAAAGACAGAAATATTTATCCTGTGCTTAGCAGCCCGACTATGGAATGAGAAGCTATGAACAGAGAAAAGAGTAGAGGTACCTCACCTTTATCCCAGTCTTCGTCACAAGGAGGGGACTGCCATGTGTTCACAGTCAGACCCTCGCATCTGTAGTTCCTGGACTGGCTGACTGTGAAACAATACAGATTCCCACATAAGCAGGAGGCACTGCCAAGTTACATTGCTTCAAGGGGTTAGCAGGCAGGGCAGCCAAATGCTTCTTTGTTTCTGAAAGAAGGACAAGTCTAAAATCTAAACAAAGGGACCTTATCTTTTCCCTGACAGTACCCAAAGAGCCTGGGGTGGGGGTGGGTGTCCAAGGAGGGAGCAAAAACAAAGAAGTCTAGCGTAATATTTATGGCAATAATATGAGATTTTTATTTTTAAGATAAATTGTTAGTAAAAATAGTCAGCTTGTTCAGAAGAGAAAGGAGCCTGATAAATACAGCATGACAGACTATTCCTGCTGGGGGACAAAATCTTATAAACACAAAACCTTTTGGAATGGAGTGGGACAAAAAAAATTAGACTAATCAAGTGGTATATCAGTTTTTTCGGTGTTAGGTCCCAATATCAAAGTACTTCAGCTGCTGATTCTTACCAACGTCCTGCTCAATGCAGCTTTTGTCAACGCAGCTTGAGATGTGGCGACCGATTTCAGCCCGGGGAACTTGGTGGCGAGCGTTGAAAGGACACGTAGCCAATTTGTTTGCAACATCAGGGTGGTTCTACCAAAGCAAAGTCAAGGAACTCATCAGTTTCTTAGCCCTCCAAGGAGGGTTTGATTTAGCTTTGTTCTATAAATGCTTTATAAAAATTTTTCTTAGTCAGTGGCTTAAATAGGGTAAAAATCCTTAGTAGGAAATCAAAACAGTGATTACTTACTACTCATAGTTTACCTAATTAATCCTCACAAACCCACCCACAATTTAAGTTTAATTATACTCATTGTAGAAAGAGCTTTAGGTCTTTAAGAGGAAAAGGGTGAAGTGGCTTACCAACAGAAAGACAAGTCAACATAGAATTGACTTTCTTAACAGAATTCCCAATCCCCATGTTTAATTCTCAAGGTCATACACTTTCCTGGGAAGGGGAATTTAATCTGAAATTGAATACAAATCTCTGACTATTTGATTGCTTGATCTTTAAGATCAACAGTAAAAAATACCCACCGCCTAGGCTGAAGTAGAGGCAGATAAAGTAAGGCTAGATAAGCAGCTGGAAAGGAGCTCTTGTAGCTGCAGCAAAGGATTGTTCAGGTTTAACACAATAAAGCCCATTTAAAGTCATGAGTCCTGGGATAAAGGTCTGAACAATCTGACCTTTACTGTAGTCATTTCCCTTAGGAAGAGTTATCAAAAAATAACTGGTGACTTGTTCTTGAAATAAAGTGTATGGATGGGGTCATTCTATCCAAATTCTATCATCAAAACAAAGACAACTGGGAAGCAAAGAAATTCAGTTTGACTGCCAGCACAGGCTCAAGAGGGCAAGAAATGGGAAGGGAAAAGCATAAAGAAGGGGTTGTGGGGAGAAGGAAAGGGGAACAAAGGAACAGGAAAAAATCGTAGACATGGGAATTCCAATCTGTGGGGGTGGAGATTGAGCTACTTCCAGTGGGTCAAGACTTCAACAGGAGAGAAAGGCATTGCCTGTGGCTTCCAGGTACCATCTGTTACTTTCCCACCAAAAGTGTCTGAGGGCCAAGGGAAGGGGAAGAGTCAGGACAGCTGCCACCTGGAGACCAAAGCAGCTTAGAGAGCTGATGGTCATGAAATAGGCTAGGAACCCTGCTCTAGAAACTAAGAGGGAAGAGGGCATTTATCAATCATATTTATTAAGTACCTATTATGAACTTGTGAAACTAGATTCTTTCTTTTCAGTCAGTTTGTTATTATTAAACTTACTGCTGAGTAACTTGAATTAATATGAACATTATTTCCATAGCATAACTCTTGAATAGAAGTTATACCTCTTGTCTCAGGTGCTTGCATTTCAGCAACAACGATAGCGTATCTTCAGCAACTTACTAACAGTGAGGTTAACCCTAGCCATGCTTATACAAGAAAGAAAGCTTGGTAAGTTCTGCAGATGCTTACTGTTCAAGTTCAGTGAAGAAATTATTTCTAGGACAATAATATTTTCCTGATTCTGACCTCTAAGTAAGTTAAATTTCAGTCAGATATCCAAACTGAAATACAGTTTTAAATCTCCAAGTAAAAAAAAAATCTGAAAAATTTCTACTACCATTTGACCCTTACATTCCAAAACTATGAATAAATCAAAGTCATAAGGCAGGAGGGTTTTTTCCTATTGCTTGCAAAGCTTGGTGTTTTCTGTTTTCTGTCTACAAAGGGTGAAAAGTACTGCTTCTCTAGAGTTGCTTCTGACATCTCCAAACAAATAAACAAAACCCATCTAATATACCTAGAGGAAAAGAAAGTCCCTTCTACAAATGTTGTGACAAAAATAGAGGAAGATTCATCAAACAGGCAGTCCACTAAAAATTATGCACTGAGATGACTTGATTTTTACTTATTAAGATGGGATAGGTTATGAGGACATTAAAAAGCAAATGAGGAAAACAATCCCCTACCTTTCTGCATTTGATCAGATGATAAGGGAACCTGCAGGCCCTGATCTGATGGTTTTTATCATATGGGCATTGTATCAGCTTCTCTGGATCCAAGGAATCAACTATAAGGGAAGAGAGAAACACAATGAATATAAAGCAAAACAGCATACATAAAACTGTAGCCCATGAAGCATGTTGGATTTTCAGGGGATCAGCAAGGTTTAGTAATTGCAAAAAAATTCTATTTTTCATAGTTCGTGATATAAGACAATCTAAAAGATAACTAAAGCATCTAAAAAATGACTATATTTTAAAATGGAATCACAGCTCGAAGCAGACAAAAGGAGCTGTCACAGAATCTTAATGAGCCTAGCAGAACCACATATACTCTGGATTGTTAATTCCTTTTTGATTTTATGCATAACTGCAGATGCTATTAGTTTATTTGTAGGCTGTAAAAGCAAACAGTTAAATGAAACCCCTTTTTCTTTTTAAGAAATATGAATGCAGGGTTCATTCCCATAACACCTAGCCACATACCTTATATGTGCTCAATAAAAATTAGTATGAGGATGTTCCTTTGGTTCTGTTTTCTCTATAGGTTATTCTCATGAAGAGTTCTTAATCTTAGCTACTTAAGTTTGTCTATTCATTCAAAAAACACTGGCATTGCACAAAGGGATGAACGCAACTTATTCTCTGCTCTCAAGACATTCAGAAGAACTTAGTAAATGTATAATCTAGTTATTACTTAAATGAAAACAGAACCTAAACCAGAAAGGCATATTCATTTTTTCATATTTTAGAATATACCTAAGATGGGAATGACTTAATCTGCACAGAGGAACTGTAGTAGTTTCTCTGGATCCAAAGAATCAAACTGAAATCAGCTTTATAAAAGACCGGTGACAGAGGTACAAAATCTTCTTCCTCAAGTTATAAGTGATATGGCCAGTTATAACAAATGTATGTATATATGTATTCAGAGACCTTGATTCTGGTTCACAAGATGCCCAGAAGTGTACACAAAGGAGATTCTTTACCTGAATCAGAAAAGTCTCAGGGAGACATACTTGATAATGGTTTTTAAAGTACCTTAAAGCAATGTCATGTGAGGGAGGGGTCAGACTTGTTCTGTTTGGCTCCCAGAAGACAGAACCAGGAGCAATCAGTAGAAGTTGCCAAGAGATAAATTTAGGACTGCTGTCAGAAGAAGCTTCCTAACAATTCTAGAGTAGAATGGGCTGCCTTGAGGGCCAGTGCCACCCTGCCCTACCAGCCCAACCGCTCCCATCCCCCCAGGGTCTTTAAGAAGAGACTGGACCAATTAACAGGTGTGTTAGAGTTCAGGATCTGAAAGGTATGAGTTTGACTTCATGGACTCTGAGGTCCCTTCCAACCTTCTTAATTCTGTGATACTGTGGAAGACATCCAGGGTCCTGTCCCAAATTTGGAAAGGAGAAGTTAAAAGGTTAAATTTATTTTTAGTGGATTATAATAACCTAACAACATGCCCTTACCACCACTGAAAGTTTGATAACAATGAAATAAGATAAACCATTCACAATGAAAAGAAGTTTATAAGCCAGAGGACAGCTATGGAAATCAGGAGTCAGTAGAGAATTGAAGCTGACAGTTTCACTGGAAGAGAGGTAAACATGGAATAAATTGCTAACCATGATCATGATGCAAATGAGCCAGAGGAGACTTGAAGGACAGAGAGAGCAGAAAGAAATGAAAGTCTTAGAGGATGGGTTTATTATGCCTACCAACCTTTTCTTGATCAGCAGTCTCCTTATAGTCTAATGTTCCAGGACATCAAGGGGCAGTTTACAGATGTAAATTCTGATTAGTTTCCCTTCATTTGTTTTGTTCCATAACTAGCAAACGTTAGACCATGTTACTAGCTGACAGAATGTATGTCACTTTATGATTCATGCCCATACAGATGCATAGGGCTTTTGGGCAAAAGACTAAATTTGGACATCCTAGTAGAATACCTCTGTTGTAAAATTTTGCTCAGAAACACTTTGATGTTTCTCATACTTGGCAATGTGCCAAAGTGAATGGTGAAGAAATGGGAACATGAAGGAGACTTCAAAGACAAATGAATTATTAGCCAAAGATACCCCTATATGAGATTAAGGGATTTTTAATTGTCACTTTGGTAAAATGTCCATCACTCACAACACTCTATCTCCCATTTCTGGGCCTTTGTACAGATTGTGTCCCCTATGCCTGCAACAATGCAGTCCTTTCTCACTTAGGCCTCTTAGAATGAATTCCCCATTTCCTTCAAAGCTTAGCTAAAACATCACCTTCTACATGAAGCCTTTCCTGATCCCTCCCCATAGCTAATGCTCCCTCCTACCCATTACCTCATCTTTATGTATTTATTTTGTACATATTCGTATTTGTACATGTTGTCTCCTCCAAAGGAGTAAAAACTCCTTAAAGGCAAAGACTTTCTCTTTTGTCTTTATATCCCAAAACCTAGAACAGTGCTCATCACTTAGCAGATATTTAATAAACGCTTACTGATTGAAAATTTGAAAAATGCACATCCTGTGAAGCATCATCACGCTAAAAAATAACCAGTAGTTGGCTGCTAAGATAAAGTAATGAAGACAATGTCTACAAGATCTATGTGGGAAAGTCTGCTTTAAAAAAAAAAAACAAAAAAAACAGGTGGCAGTGGGTCTGTAAAGATGAACAGAAATCTCCCTTTTTGAAATGTAAATACATTTTTAAAAAGGTATTTGTGGATTTACTGGTGACACAAGGGCAACCATTCTAAACAGACAATAAGAGCAATTTCTGTTTCATTTTTAACTTTTTGTCTATTAATTAACTTAACATCTCTGTTCCTTATTTTAGTGATCTAACTTTCACTGTTCTACCAGGAGACAGAAAAGAGCTGGAATTGCCTTCATTAAGACATCAATTAGATGGGGATTCTGAGTAAGTATGCACAATACGTTTCTCTAACTTGTGTGACATTAAAATAGGGTATTATGTTTAAACAATGAAAGAAGATTCTAGTTAACTAGCTGTGCCAACTTTGTAACCCCGGTGAGGTCAGTGTTGTCAAACTCAAACAGAAATGGATACGTGCCAGCTTCAGGTAGAATTAAAAAATCCACAAATTAACATTATTTATGCTGTATTGTATTTTTGTTTTGCTAAAAAATTTGCCAATTACATTTTAATGTGTTTGTCACTTTTGGAACTAGCCTATCTCTACAATTCTTTCAAGTTCTAAAATGCTTTCAATCTAGATGCCAAAATTCCCTTTGGTTTCCCAGAGGTCCCAAGACAATTGAATTATAAGAATCCAACCAGGAATTCTATAATCTCAAGGGTTAATTGTACTTCAGCCTCAGTTACCTTTTATATACCCTTTTATCATCCCTGTAAACAGAAAGGGCCAGAAGTTATTTTACCCATGCCCTAGTTGGAAAAACTGAATTCCAGAAAGGTTAAATAACTTGGAACACTGTGAATTAGTGAAGAACTAAACTGTTTCTTGTTTCTTGGAAGTTTTTTTAAAATATATTTTTAAATTTATTTATTTTTAGTTTTCAACATTCACTTCCATATGATTGAGTTCCAAATTTTATCCCCATCTCATCCTTCCCCCCACCCCAAGATGGCATTCATTCTGTATACTCCTTCATCTAATTTGCCCTCCCTTCTATCTCTGCCCCCCCCATCCCCTTCCCCTTCTATTTTCCCATAGGGCAGGATAGTTTTCAATACCCCATTTCCTGTATTTCTTATTTCCCAGTTGTATGTGAAAACAATTTTTTTTAACATGTGTTTTTAAAACTTTGGGTTCCAAATCTTGGAAGTTCTTTTGACTTCAAATATCTCTTGTGGATCAAATCCAAAATACTTTATTGCAAATGTGAGTACTTCTAAATATCAACTATTATAGTAGAAATTTTACCCATCTTCCTCCTGTACAATGCCAACTCAACTTGAACACCTCGGAGCAACATCTGTGCTATCCTTTTCAGCACCTGTAGTAAGCTAGAAGTCTTGGTCAGTGAAACAGAATAAATTACTAGGTTTTTGCTTTCTATGAGCAAGCAGAGATCTATTTATCAGTAAGAACGTACCATAATTGTCTTCCATGTCTGCAGTGAAAAGTAGGCAGACCCAAGTGCTCTCTCAAAGCTGTGATTCAGGGAACCAGAAATGGCATCCACCAAAAGGCTCCAACTCAAAGAAACGGAGTCAAACTGGAATTAAAATCAGATTTAACTTGGGCACAAGCAAAAGAAAACCCCTCATCAAATCCCGTGATTTTGTATTTTTTTTTTAAACAAAGAACTTACATAACCCTGCCTGATTCACATTCACTGCAATAAGCAGATTCTCAGGCCTTCCAACACTTAAGAAAAATGGAAGATGACAACCAATTCAAATTGTATTCAGGTGATAAACTGGCAGACTTATTTTAACTGTTATTACAACTACCTGTCACTCTTTACCACCTCTTCAGTTTTGAAATGCTGTTAAATGTTACGGAAGCAATAATAAAAAAAAAAAAACAAACCCAGAAGAGTACCATGTTATTTAAGCACCTGATTATAAAACACAGGAAGAGAGAAACATATTTTTAAACTCCCTGCTCAACTTCTTAAAGTGGGGGGGGGGGGAGAAAGGACAGTACTCCTTTCTAGCAGTTGAAACTAAAACATCAGTGCCAGGCAGCAGATTTTAAGTCAGGCCCTTCACTTCATCTAGACGTAAAATGTCTTCTTTAAATGTGGTAGGGGCAGTATCACAAGCTGAATGATTCCAGCGAACTGCCCTTTCACCCACACTCTAAAAGAGCTACCCGCCACTCTTCATACTCCCTACCCCACCCAAGCAGAGCTTAATAGTGGTGATATTTAAGATCCTCCAGGTAACAATCATTCTTTGTTCAACAGGAATACTTCTGGCTAAGACGACTTGAGAGGGCTGTCCATTTCCTAGATAATATGACCAGATGTGAGATAGTTTGTAACAGATACCTCAGAAGGGCAGAAAATGAAGTATGACTGGTGCCCCAGTTTTCTTCCATCTGAAGAGATGTCTTATTAGTGGGTATCGTGATGAAATATACTTATGGTTATGGGGGGGGGGAAGAAGAGCACAACTTCTAAGTCATAAACCAGCACTCCTGCCCAACTGCTGGCTCAGATTAACAGCTCCTGCTGTCTAGGGAACTGTTTCCCCTGGGGTACCCTCCCCCCGTTCTATGACATAACAGTCTTGGAACGCCACGTTGGAAAACACAAATGACCCGCGGGAACACTAGGAGCGTAACCGTTCTAGAGCTGATTGGTTAATTACACTCACTAAAGTGGGCTTGCCCTTCCAATTATTAAATTCTTATCTTTCCTTCGGAGGGGATCTTTATTCGTATGGGGCTACTTTTATACCATTCTATCTTTTAAAACTAAATTAAAAGGATGTTTTGAGAGCTTCTCGAAGTTGGTGGGGTTTTTTGGGGGGGGGCGTGGGAGACGCACAGAATAGAAAAAGCCAAAAAAGGAGCTTGAGGGCCCTTTGTTACGTAACCCCGTTATTTGACTGAGGGAAAAAAAAAAGCCCAACGACTGGATATAGCACCCTCCCCACCCCCCAATCTCGCGGCCCGGGTCGCCCACCTCCAACCTAACTTTAGGGTTCGATTTAAATGAACGAAGGTAACAAAGGTTAAAAAAAATTGCCTCCTAATCTCAAACCTTCACTTCTGGCAACGGGGGGAATAAACCCTCCCCTTCTCCCAGTTTTTAACCTCGGCTCCCCCCACTTTTTCTTCGTCCCTTAACTACCCTCTCCCGCAGGAGTTTCATGTTTAGTTTGTTTAGTAACATATATTAAATTTAAATATAGGGAGCGGGAGAAAGCCCGTGGGCTAGCTCCACTTAAGCCGAGGGGTCTCGGCGGCCGCGGCCTCTCTGGCGTTGCTTCCCTTTGGGGGGAGGAAAAAAAAAAGGTCCAGGAAGAGTTGTGCCCGTGGGGGTCCCGGACAGGGACCTGATGGACGGAGGTGGGCAGCCTGGCGGTCGAGAAGGGGGAGAGGGGCGGCAGGAGGCCGCCGGAGGCGAGGGTGGGCAACCAGGGCTGAGCGCGCAGCCGCCATTGCCTCCTGTGGTAGAGGCGGCGTCGAGAAAAAGGCGGGAGAGAGAAGAGAGGCGCGCCAAAACGAGCCACATGGAGGTAGGCTTTGGAAAAGGAAACCGGGGCTGGGCAGGGCCAAGGCCACTCGAGAGGAGCGCCCCGGGGAGCCGAGAAGGGGAGTTCCTGTCCAGGGAAAGAGGGCTAAACCGGACCCGCTCCAGGCGCCTGACGCGACCCTACCTCAGAGCCCAGCCGCACTGCCAGCTCCCAATTGTGGTACCGCACCTCAGCTCCCAGGCAACGCCCACTTCCGGCCCTTGGCGTTAGGGCGGAGCCCACTTCCGGTGGCGAGCTGGGTTTTTCTCTCCCCGCCCCCTCCCCTTCCCTGCACCTCTGTGAGGATGAGAGCGAGGCTTTCGGCCCCCTCCCCCACTACCAGCCCGAGAACCCAGAACGAGGCTCCATTGTTAGCGTTCTCGTTTGCGCTGGACCGCTTTAGTGAGGAGGGGGAGGGGCTTTTCTAAGAGGTAGGAGAAAGGAGAGGGGAAAAGGAAAGGAGTGAAGGGGAGAAGAGAAAGAAAAGAAAAAGGAAGGGAAAGAGAAGAAAGGGGTGAAAGAGGGAAAGAGGAGAGCAAAGAAAAAAGTAGAAAAGAGAGGAGAGGAAAGAAAGAAAAGAATGGAAAAGAGAGAAAGGGGAAAGGAAGTGAAAAGAAGGAGGAAAATTAAAGAGAAGAGAAGGAAAAGAAGAGAAAGTAGGAGAAGAGGCAGAGAAGAATGGGCGGAGACTCCCACCCGCTCGTGTGTCAGTGCTCCCTGAAGATGGGGAGGGTCCCAGGGGCCAAGGAGTGATGTGATGGTGCAGAACACGCCAGCGTTGGGGTGGGGGCGTGGGGAAGGGGACTCAGGGAGCTCTCACTTGCTAATCAAGTGTGTTCCCAGGGAGCCCTATGAATGAGAAGGAACTTTAAATGTTGCTTTGAGAACAGGAGTTAAGTGGGGTTATTACCTCCCTTCTATGTTCTGAACACTATTTACTTACATTAATAACATAGCCTCAGATTGCCATGTTTGGTGGTGGTTTCTTTTTTCACTATAACATTTCAGAATCCAAAAGTTGGCAAAGACTTCAGAGGTAATCTAGTTTAACCCAAAGGACATTAACAGACTATTAAAAAAAAAAAAAGCACAACACCCTCCCCCCGGCATTTACCTGAAGTTCAGGAGTGAAGTGAATGCATGGCTTCCTGAGGCATTCCCTTCAATTTCTGGATAATTCTGACATTAAACTTCACTGCTTATTCCTTCTGGGCTACTTTGCACAGGTATAAAGAGGGTCAATGATTAGAGAAATCTCTGCTATTGCTTTGGTATAAAAAGTAGTTTCAATTCATTTCCATTGAACAAGCCTTCATTAAGTGGCTATGTGTTGTTTAGAGTACTCTTCCAGACTAGGTTCTGGAGGATCTAACAAAGTTTAGAGATGACATAGTCCCTTCATAAATTTTACAGCCTGGTAGGAGAATTATATACAAATAAAGCTGTAAACTACATTCTGGGGAAAAGTCTTGCTATGTACACTTCCAAAAAAATTCTAAACACGAATTTCAGCCTCTTCTTGCTGACTTTTCTCATTCTTTTGGGTCAGATGTTGTGTCCTGGATCCTGTGTCAATCAATTAATAAACATTAAGTGCCAATTATGTGCTAGCCACTACCACACAAAGACAAGAGACTCAAGTTTCCACCCTTAAATGGGGGTGGGGATGGTGTGCAATATGCTCATAGATAAATGAGTACAGGCCAGGAAAAAAAAAAACAGATTTAAAGAGATGGGTGGAGTTGGGGAGCACTAATATTGGGAGAATTAAGAAGGTTTTTTGGAGCTGAGGTTTGAGCTGATTCTTGAAGAGAGCTAAGGGTTTTTTCTATCCTAGGAAGTCTTTTCTGTCATCACCTAAAATTCCCCAGGTGTTTTTAAAAATGTGAACCTCTGTCTAGCCAGTTCAGTTTCTTTGTCTTGTACTTTGTACTGTGCAGTTGATTTCTTCAACTTGTTTCCCAGACTTGTCCTTTTCAAATTTCATCTTGTTAGTTTTATCCACTTGCCCCAGTGCCTCAAGATATTTTTGAATCCTTATTTTGTTATTTAATCTTATTAACTTTTTCTTCCACATCTTCTCATCTGCAGACTTGATGAGTTCAATCTTTGTATCCATCCAAGTTTTTGATAAAATGTTGACATTGAATAATGAGTGAGTACAAGCCACTTTGCACCAGGGGGGCAGAGGCCATGCTCACTTCACTTTTGGCTCTATTCTTTATTCTCTGGACTTCACCTCCTCAACAGCAGCCTTGACTCCCTCCTCCTGCCTTTCAGAGTTTCCCCTTTATGTGATGTCTTACCCAATTGTATTGAAATACAGTTATAAAAATATATAGATATTTTTAAAAGTTTTTTTTAAAAGTTCACAGACCCTACATTAAGAGGAACTTAGGCATTACAGGCATTTTAATATTTTACAAATACCAGGGCAGCATTTAGGCTCTCTATAAGAATCTCCGCCTCATGGTACAAGATAGGCCTACTGCTTTTTTCTGATCATATGCCTCATTGATAATATTTTTATGCTATTTCTAGTGTATAAGTGATTACTGGTAATATACTGCAGCTCAGTGGTATCAAACTCAAATAAAAAGGAACTCAAATTAAAAGGTAGGGAGGGGGCTACTGACCCATAGGTAAGGACTTCTACAGCTGCCTATTGACTTAGTTTAAGAATATGATCTATTTTGTATTTTTATTTATTTTGTTAAATAATTCCCAATTACCTTTTAATTGGGAAATTAAAGTGTAAAAGTTTGATAATGCTGTGATCTGTTGCAGGCTATTACATAGCTTATTTATACTTGCCATGAATCTCTTTCTATTATCCTTTGGGTCGCTTGCAATTTTAAGTCTTCTGTGACTATTCTTTCATGATTCATAGCCGTATAGCATCCATGGGAGAATATTAGAGTTAAAAAGATGGAGATTTGTGTCAAGGAGCTGCCTGACATTGAAAGTGCGGCCCAATTTTCTCCTGTTTAATTCTCTGCTAAGCTCACTGGCCATTTGTATTATCTGTTCATGATATGTTTGATGCTAATGGACTAATTAATGGATTGCCTATCCATCTGCATGTTATAGCCTGAGTGACAGGCATTCTTTATCTCTAACTGTATTCTACATATGTTTATTCATTATGCAATCATATATGTGCATATTGTCTCCTCCAATAGGATGTAAGCTTCTCAACAGCAGAGATGCTTTAATTTTTTTTGTCTTTTAATTCCTGTACCTAGCACGTAGTTAGCACTTTATAAATGCATATTGAGTGATTGATGCAATTGATTTTTCATGTGTAGATTGTTAGGATAATTTCTTTGGAGTAGCTATAGACCTCTCTGGTGAGGCCTTGTAGTATTCTGAGGCTCGTGAAATTTGTGCAGTGTCATCTAAAATAGGAACATCTGGAGAACCTCACCAACTGTAAGGAATGTTTCTTCCATTTAGGCTTCATATAGGAAACTTACAAGGACTGTGGTGAACACTCTCCAAGACCCAATTTGATATTGGTAATTAGAGATTAAGAGTGTTATCAATGTGGTTGAATAGTAGGCATGTAGCCTCTCCCAGAACGGAATATGGTATGGTGACTCAAAATACCTTGGGATATCATCTGAAAGGCCCTGACTCTATGTGGACAGGCCTTTTTATGCCTTTAGGTGCTGTATTAGGAAGTGATATTACTAGGACCTGAGGATACCAGATCAACAGAAACTAGGCTTGAGCCTTAGTGCCCAGACCAGTCAAGTCTCAGAGAAAGCTTCTTTCCTCTTTGGTGAAGGGGGAAGGTGAATAAGCATTTATATAGTCCAGGGGGAACCCTGGCAGCTGTTGATCCTGTCACATTCTTCTTATGTGTGTGGAAAAGATATATGTATGTATTTATGTACGAGTGTGTATTTTATTTCCCTCCACAATGCCATAGTATTTGAGGTAACCTTCATATGAAGAATTTGGGGGAGGGAGTTATAAGCACTTTTGAGCCCCTTTTGAAAGAGCAACACAAAGCCATTCTGCTGTTACTAGACAATTTGAGGCATAATAGCCTAGGAAAAATTTGTGTTGAAATCAACTGGCAACCATCCTGTACACTTATGTATCATAAATTGCTTATAGCTTTCACCTTTGAAACCAGCTGAAGAGGTTTCCTTAATTATAACTTCATAGGTCTCATACCATCATCCACTCAACCAATTAGTGTTCTCAGAGATTGCAGAGTATAGATCAAAAATCACAGGTAATATGTAATACATCTTTGTCCCTACAAATTGCTACCCAAGAATCTTCCTCTATCAGAAATGGCACTTTCTCATCCATGTGGGAAGCTATTTGGAGGAGCTCCTACACCACCATCCCAATCTGGACACAGATTTCCAAATCTGTGGACTGCAGCATCCTCTTTGAATTTCCAGTTTTTTATTAAGAATATCCTTTAATCTCTTGGGCATGTCTCAGGTGGGGGATTTTCTTTTTTTCCTCCTCTAGGGTGGACATTTGTTGACTGCATTTGGGCAGGCATTGTCACTAAATGTAGGAATCTTAATGAGTAGGAGAGACTGATCAGCTCCTCATCTTAAAACTCTTCAAACCGACACGAAGAGCCTTCATTCCAATAGTGGTCTTTGTTTAGTAACTGGTGAGGAAATGAGATTAGCCTGGCCTGACTTATTCTCAATGAACTTGTATTAGTTCATAGTTAATATCTCCTCTTTTTCACAACCATTCTTTTTTTAAAATAATTTTCTATTATTTTTTCGAGAAATGGGTATCAGGCTTACTTGCTTATAATTTAAAGAATTAACTTCCTTTTTAAAAAGAGACATTTTTCTGTTTCTGGTCCTTTCCTATTATTTTCCATATTTCCTCAATGAGTGATGACAGTGATTCATTAATCGCACTATGAATTAATTTCAGTTTCTTGAGAATGTGTGCCTCTGGGCCTGAAGAATTGAACTCATTGAGGACAGCTAGACCTCTCATCATCTTTTTACTTATTGTGAGTTTTAGTTCTCTTGTGAACTGCAGGTGTGCCAAGAAGAGTGGGCTGGCAAGTAAGTATTTGCTTCTTTTTCTACTTCCTTCTTCATTCTGTAAACTAGTTGAGCTGAAATCTCCCAGGCCTTGCCTACCTCCTCCCATGGGGCAGGTTCAAGGTATGTCCTTCCCTTTTCTGACTGCCTTCTCCTACCAGCCCCTCTCCTCTCTCATCT